TTACATTTTCGATATCAATATTTCGCCTGAAACCTTTCCACCTCTGTTTGCCTTCGGGAAAATATATTCGCTGGATGACCGGAGGCTGGATTCTCATAGCCCGTCTTGCAATGGATTCAATATGAGGTGCCCATCGCGTGGATTTCTCGTGGTCTTCCTCAACCCATCAAGCTTGGTCGCTACATTACTTACGGGATATCAATTCGATAGTCACTCAGCTGGGTTCGATTGGCAACAGACAGCAAGATACACACGCAAAGTACCCAAAACAGAGGTATAAGACAGGTTTCACACTTGAGAGACTACAGATCTGAGACCAGATTTTACAGCAAGAAAATCTTTTTGATTTATAGAAGTCATCAAAATTAGCTCACTCCCGTGAGCTAATGAAGTCGCTTTAATTACGTCAATTTAATAGATAACCGACTCCGGAGAGCAGATTAAGTTTCTCAACCGACTCCCGGGACTAAATTAGGTCTGCCAAAAGCAATATTCTAGAAATAGCTGCTTTCCTATGCGAGTCACGACCAATGCGGAAAGACATATGTGATCAGCGTGAGATTTCGTTGTAGAGAACGAAATAAAATAGCATCGAAGTGCTAAAGTGTTCTGCAGAAGGTTTCTCATACCGACCATATGAGGTTTTACCCTCGCTAAACCAAGTGGCTGAACACTAGCACATATACCCTATCGAAAGTTCGTTCATGGTTTAGCAAATCAAGAACGCCGCGAGTCCCAACGCGCTGACGTACAATCCCGCGACGGGCGAAATTACGTAAAAGACCTCGGTGGCCAACCCGTTTGCCGAGTGGCTGGATAGCGAAAAGGGCGCGGAGACTGGGAGGCCAATTTGGAGGGAGCGGCTTTCGGTGAGAACACTGTCGTCCAGAAAATGTACGCCGACTACGAGGCGGACGGATGCTGGTCCAGAGACTGTCGTTGATAAGCCCGAAACGCACTTTGGGTTTTTAGCCGAGGACGTACAAAAGGTGATGCCCGATCCGGTGTACGACGACATTGCGGGTAATGCGCTGGATATCAAGTGGAACAATATCACGGCGCTACTGGTGAGAGAGATTCAAATGATGCGCGTCGACAATGCCACTGCGCAGGTGGCAATCGACGCTAAGCGCCGATCTTTCTGCATGGGTCGAGATACTTAGATTGAATATCATCAGATTGAGTTCTAATTTGTAACCAAATAAAACACAGAATGTCGTGGAAAGTGGAATATCATAATATATGGTAATCAGTGACAGCGACTGCTTGCCCATGTTGGAGTAGTACAGGTATAAAACCACAGGTGAGGTCAGAAATAGATACATACATTTGCACTAAAATTAAAGTCTACTACATTACACTTTTGCAACACTCTCCAAATCTGGGACCCGGGTATGAACTTTCGTCAGCCCATCACTGATCAACAACGACGTACAGACAACCCGATTCAGAATGGAGGGACTGCAAATGTTGTCAACGATTACCTGAAGATAGCCAACTTCAAGGACGTCTTTATAACTCTCAGGACTTGGGATCCATAGTGATGGAAGTTAGAGGCCGTCACGGGCATCTGTACGAGTACCTAGCATTCAGTTCATACTGCTTCAGCCTGCTGATGGGTGTATTCTTCAATATTACACGGGAAAGGGGGTTTGCATATTCTCCTCTGTAGAAATACGGCCTCCGGTCAGTCTAAAATATCAAGATCAAATGAGATAACACATTGGTTTTTATTTGTATTAAATTAATCTAATACAAGTTCTTATTTCAATATTTCCAAGTGTTCTAAATTCACCTTGATGGCCCCAATAGGGATAATATTATTTATTTCAAAAAAGATAAGTTACAAAGTATGTATGTTACAATGCATGAACATATGGTATGGCTCTCATAGCCGATGTAGTGGTTCGGGAAAGATCGATAGGAAGACTCCAATAGCCTGAGTATTTGGTATGGCTCATTTACTTGGACCTATTTGAGACGATAGTAGATGTAGGATATTATAAACTAAATTTTTTAATCTGAACTACTACTTACAGGTTTTGGTTTTCCCGCCAATCTCCAAAATCCAATATGTCTTTTTCTTTTTTTTAACTTTTCTTCAGATGGATTTTTATTTATATTCGCTAATGTATCAACTTGACTTACGTTCTTATGTCTATCTATAAACTAGACATGTGGTCAGGAACCCTTAGTACTTCTAGTGAGAATTATTCAATAAAGCACAGCTAGAGGTACATCCTGTGTGATCGAGGATATTAAGGCTCTTACCAAAAGGTAGTCCCGATCATTCTTATTACACAATGTACCACTTCTAAATCCTAGCTGACTTAAATTGTATTATAGTTTATATAACATAGTTTAAAACATAGAAATATCCATTGAAGTTTACATATTTTTCAGTTAATTAGTAGTTACCGTAGTGTACTGCTTCTAGACTGTCTAACAATTGCTTTGTTAGCGTGCGGTGTGGGGTACTATTAGTAAAGTGCTAGTGTATTCAAAGTATGGTGCAGTGTGGGGG